AATAAAGTTAGTAATATTAATAAGTAGAATAACTTTAGTAAAGTAAATATATATGTTAAATAGTATTATATAGCGTTATTATATATTATCATTATATATATTTGTCAGATATGCGCACCTACTGTCAAGACAGGAGGAACGTTTGACGAAAGCTGCTACATAGTACGAGCAATAAGCTCGAACAGTATGTTGCTGCAAATTGCTGCATTTTGCAGCATTTTGCAGCATGTTGCAAGCTGGTCGCGCATAGGGCTAGTGGGCGAGGGACTCGGATCGGAAAAACAAAAGCCGAGCAACACGAGTAGAGCAGAAAAAGGATTGATAAATAAACAACAATTAATACAATCAATGAATCATCCCATACATCATATCCAAACCCATCATTCATCTCAGGAAGCCTAGAAACAGTGCTTCAATCTAACAATATTATAGTTGTTTAAATTATAGTAATTACTTGTTAACATTTTTTTTTAGCTTATATAGTTTTTTTAAATAAAAAAGCTTTATATATTACTAGAGACACAAGAATTATTATATACTATTATAATAATTATTACTTTTACTACTTAAAATCTTTTTCTATAAAATATCTATTTATAGAAATAGTAATTACTATAGTAATTACTACATACCTCTAGTAATAGTAATTACTATTACTAGGTGCTTATAGTAATAGTAATTACTATTACTAAAAAGTGGCAACCCTGCTATACACACCTAGTAATAGTAATTACTATTACTAGGGCTAAAAGGTTGCATAGTAATTACTATTACTATAGTAAACAGCGACCCTGAGCAAGGCGCTAGCTAGTACCCTAGGAGACAGAAACTAAAGGCCTGTGCTATCTAAATAATAAAAGAAAAGCTAAAAAAACTACCTTAAAAGCGCTACTTTCTAATAAGAAAATAAAATAGGCTAGAATATACTAGCTAGTATAATAACTAGAACATGTAATTCCTAAGAAGTATAGTAACTATTAGGACATGTTTAAAACTCCTAAAGACTTAGAAGAACTGCCCTTACACTAGCTATAGAACTACGCTATAAACTTAAAGCTAAACCTATAGCTAAAAACACATAAACTAAGACCCTTTATAAAGATTTAAAAGAAAGCCTTATAAGAATACGTAGATAAGATGCTAGTAAAAGGCTATATTTAGAAAAGTAATAGCCTAATAGCATTAGCAGTAGTGTTTGCAAAGAAGAAAGAAAGAAAAATTAAAGTCTGTTAAGACTACTAAACTCTTAATAAAAACACTATATAGAACTAGTTCCCTCTTCTTATTATATAAGACATTATAAACTAGCTCTATAGAACTATACACTACATAAAGTTTAATGTACAGGACAGGTTTAACAAGATAAGGATAAAAGAAGGCTATAAATAAATAACAGCTTTTAAAACTTTAGGCAGCTTATATAAACTTTTTATTATGCTATTTAGACTAACTAATGCTCTAGCAACTTTTTAATAAGTAATTAACACTACACTTAACCTATACCTAGACATCTTTATGCTAGTATACCTAGACAACATTTTTATCTACACTAAAGGTAATAAACTAGACTATGTAATAAAGGTAAAGCTAGTACTAGACTAACTATAAAAATATAGACTTTACCTACAACTTTTAAAATGTAAATTTAATGTATAGGAAACTAAATACCTTAAATTTATTATTAATAAAGAAGAAGTAAAAATAGACCTTATAAAAGTAAAAAAAGTAATAGACTAGCGAATACTTATAAGTGTAAATAAAGTCTAAGGATTTTATAGTCTAACAAAGTATATATAATGCATAATTAAAAACTACTTAAAGATTACACTACCTCTTATAGACACTATAATAAAAAAAAGACTATACCTAAAGTTTATCAAGAATCTCTAGATAGAAGAGGCCTTTTAAGAACTTAAAATAGCAATAATAAGTAAACTAGTAATATAAATATATAACCTAATACTAGAAACTAAGCTACATATAGACACATTATTAAAAGCTAAAGAAGCAGTGTTTCTTTAAAAACAAGAAAACAGAAGATAGCATCTAGTAGCATACTACTCTGCAAAATTCTCTCTCTTAGAATAAAAGTATAGTATTCTAGACAAGAAATTAAAAGCTATAGTAAATATGTTAAAAGCATAAGAAACAGAACTATAAAAAACTAGTTAATAATTTATTATATACACTAACTACACTAACTTAGTTACTTTTTTAATAATAAAGAAGTTATTACTAATGTACGCATAATAGGCTATAGAACTAGCCTAGTTTAACTTTGTAATAAAACACATAGTAGGCGCTAATAATTAATAAGTAGACACTTTAAGCAGACAAGCTAACTACTCTAAAAAAAACTCTTGAAAAATTTTATAATATTTAAAAAAACTTAAAAAAGATTAGTCTATAATAAGCTAGATCTAGAGGAAATAATTTATTCCTTTACAGTAGTAGAACAAAGATAGAAGAACCTTGTTAAAGAATACTATAAGGCCTCTATATTTAGACACCCTAGAATTAGAACGCTCTAAAAGAAAGTTAAAGCTATAATTCTTTAGAACATCCTAAATTTAAAATAATTATGCACTAAAATTTTTAGTAAATGTAACATTTATAATAAGAATAACTTTAAAAGGCATAAGATGTATAGTTAACTACAAGCTATTAAGGCCTCTAAACAACCTTAGATAATAATAATAATAGATTTTATAACATAATTACCTCTATTTTATAAACCTAGCACTAAGAGACTCTGTAACATAATAACAGTTGCCCTAGACAAGACTACAAATTCCTGTATACATAGCTCTTTAAGAAAAGCATAACAGCTAAGAAATTTATCTATAAACTTAAATAAAACATAGTCTTAGTTTATAGCTACCTATAAACAATTATCTTTAATAGAGATAAGCTGTTTATAAGTAAATTTTAAAAAGCTACTATAAGACACTTAGGCGTAAAACATAGACTATCTACAGCATATCACCTGTAAATAGACAGACAGACTAAATAAGTAAATGCTAAAGTAGAAAAATATTTAAGAAAATATGTATCCTATAACTAAACTAATTAGGCAGAGTAGCTTTTTATAGCGCAACTAGCTCTTAACATAGTAGAATTAGCTATAACAAAAGAAACTCTTTATAAGGCTAACTTTAGCTACTACTTTTATTACACACTTTATAAGAACTAACTAATAAACTTACAAAAAACTATTAACTACTTATTAAGCTTACTAAACTTATATTAAAAGTTAGCAGTTAAAGCTAAGGCTAGCTAAGAAGCAATATAATAAAATGCAAATAAGGTATAATAACTAGGTCTAGAAATCCACCCTAGAGACTACACCTACCTTAAAATAAAGAATCTTTATACTCTAAGACTTTTGCAAAAACTTGTAGAAAAACACATTAAACTATATAAAGTACTATAAACATAGCAGGATAATTATAAGCTTAAACTACTAAAAAAAAATGCGCATACATTTATAGTTTTACATTTCAAAACTAAAAAAGCACTAAAGAAGATACTGCTTTTAAAGGCTAGCTAAAGAGACATAAAAGTAGAATATAAAGTTAAGCAAATAGTTAATGCTTAAGAGAAAGAAAAAATCTAGTAAAATAAAAAGAATAGCTTACTAGTAAAAACATGTAAAAGCTTATTAAAAATCTAATAAACGCTCTATAGCTTTTTTAAGATTATTAGGCGTCTCTTCTAACTAGAACTAGCCTAGAGAAAGTTCTTTAGACTAGAAAACACTATTATTAGCTAAAAAAAAACTTTAGCAACATTAAATAGCTATAATGTAGGAAGTCTATAATTTTTTAATATAGGCTAAAAAGAAAAAAGACCTACTGCTTTTACCTTAAGTGCTTTAATCTTATCTAAGAATAAAAAGTCCTCTTTTAGATATTTTACTTTTTAACTTTTAAAGAGATTAAGTTGCTTCTAACATTAGACTTAGTAGGCGTAAATTACTTATAGCCTTTTTAAGCTTATAGTGCAACACTTTACCTTTTCTTTTACTTTTTTTAACTTTTGTTTCTTTTTCTATCTCTACTTAACCTAAGCGCTGTTTAGCTTATAGAGAAGCTTTTTTTACTTCTTTTTTAAACAATCTTAAGCTGTGTCTAAAATAAAAGTGTTATACTTATTACCCTTTTAAACACACTTTATATACTTATCTAATAATAGAGTTAAAACGTAAAAGAAGCTACTTAAGCTGCATAGACTACATAGCTGCATCTTTATATAGCAAAGAGGATTAAAGTAGGCAATAGTGCGCAGTTAGTGTGCGCTAGAGAACTAATAAAAAGACTAATAGAGCATAGTTAAAGAAGATAGACATTTATAAAGCGTTTATAAAAGGGCACCTACTAGATAAAAAGAAACTCTAACACTTATAATAGTTTAAGCAGAACAGTAAGAACACTAGTAGAGAGAGGAGCCTGCATGTTATAACCTATAATTAGACTGTAAGCTGCTAACCCTCTGTGCCCTACTATTTAAATAAATAAGGATAGAATCTTCTTATCTTCCTATCTAACAAGTCACGTGACCTAACAGATAAGGAATAAACAAAGCTCTTAGACTAATGCATAGCTAAATGTGTTGTCTAATAAGCTAGGCGCGTTTGCATGCTATGCATGCTATGCGCGCTATAAAAGTCTAAGAACATGTAAGACATGCAAAGCATGCAGAGCATGCAACCCTATGTATATAGTTTAGAATCCTAACTACCTTTAAAAGTTGTAATTAAAGTTTAGTTTATTATTACATAGACTAAGTAGCATTGCTACTTTTTAATAAGAAGTAATCTAATTATATATCTTACACTATATATACCTCTATCTTGTTCCTATCTAGGAACTATTTAACCTAAGCACCTTATACTACTGTTAAAGGGCAAACCATAGTTAGCTGTACGTTCTAAGCCCTAGCAACTACGCCTTGACAGACTGTACACCTGTCCAGCCTAAGTTCTCCTTCCCCCCGAACACCTAAATCTCTCCTAGGCCCAGAGTTCTTCGGACACTATTTCCCTGAAGTAAAGATTGTAACAAATACTAATTGTGTATCTTGCACTATATACACCTCTACTCCTGTTCTACGAACTGTTTGGCAAAGCGCCTTATACTGCTGTTAAAGCCTAAACCACAATTCAGCCACTCTACCATCGCTATACCTGAACCATACCGAAGACTGTACATCTAAGGCAGGCTTCTTCTTCTACCTCTCCACCTAACCTAAAAGGCCCGCGTGCTTGCAGCATCTAAAAGGACCCTGCTAAGCAAGGATTGTAACACTAGGGATTATAGTGCTTGCAACGCTTAGTAAGGCTAAGGCTATAATTACTACATAATAGATTGCAGTGCTTGCAACGCTTAGCAAGGCTAAGGCTATAATTACTACACAATAGATTGCAGTGCTTACAACGCTTAGTAAGGCTAAGTGTTACAATCTTTACTTCGGAAAAATGGTGTCCGAAGTACTCTGGGCCTAGGGAGGAGGTTAGGAGTGCGGAGGAGAGGGAACTTAGTCTTAGACGGGTGTACAGTCCGTTAAGGCGTGGTTACTAGGACTAGAAGGTGCAGCTAACTGTGGTTTGTGTAACGGCGCAGGCAAGACAATGGGTCCGAATGCGGTATGAATCCACTCAGAGGCATATGGGAGTGCGTGGGGACTCAGAGACCTGGGAATACCAATGACACCTATAGGCCTTGTACGTAGGATATCAGAAAACTAC